TTTATGAGCTTGTTTTACAGAAGAAAAAGAATGTCTTCAAAGACTACCAGATAACCAGCCCCAGCTGCCACTGACATCCAGAAGTCAGACTGCCCAGAGGCTTATCTGGAGTGAAAGAAAAACGGTTTACCCCTTTGTCTCTCCAAAACTCCTCCTGACACTCCTTAGCTCTATAAAACCCCTTGCCTTCTTCTTTTGTTGAGACGGATTTGAGAGAACCCACGCTCCTACCTTCTCGTCCTGGCCAATTCGAATAAACGTTTCTCCATCTCCAAGTATTGACGTCTCAGTGTTTGGCTTACTGCACATCAGGCACATGATCTTGAGATTAAGAGGTTTGAATCACTTTCCCTTATAAAATAACAAAATCTTCCCAAAGTGCACCTTTATTTTCAGTCTCATGTTTCAGTTTGTTCTATGGTCTCCTCCTTTATCTGTTACTAGTACTAAAAAGTATTTTTGCTCACTTCCAGGTAATTCTAAGAACTAATTTGTCTTAGGCCCTGATGCTTGGTACTTCCCAAAAGAGGCAGACAGATTATTTTGCATGGTCCAAAAGGGGTGATGTAATTCTCAAATGGAAGAAACAGAGCAAAACAATGAAAATATGCACTAAGTATTATGAACAACTCTGAGACACTGTTATTTATGATTTTGTGGGAAAGCTTCCCCTAAGGAAAGTAGTAGAAACTCCAGCACTTAGGTTAAAACACAACTGTAAAAGGCACTAAAAAAATGCATTAGAGGGATTCATCCCATAAAAAGACCCTGGGAAGTACAGTTATGGCCAAAGAGACCCCATTTCTAATTTTTTTGATTCTACAAAATTCATTATATTTGCAGAAAGTGTACTTGAGAGTTGAAGAATAAGAAATGGTAATGGTAAATGCAAATGGTAAAAACATTTATGTTTTTTTAGTCTTAAAAGAGTGAGACAGCTTTAAAAATGATCTTCACGTCAGAAAATCCAAAACTTATAAATCGTAAAAGGTTAAAGCTAGACAGGACATGGAATTTATGGTGAACAAAATACTGTGGCATAATCTTCACAATATCACTGCTTAGCAAATAAATGTACAATCAGTACTTTTTTTTTTTTGGTAAATAAGATTGGCTATGAGCTAACATCCATTGCCAATCTTCCTCTTTTTGCTGAGGAAGATTGGCCCTGAGCTAACACCCGTGCCAATCTTCCTCTATTTTGTATGTGGGACACCACCACAGCATGGCTTGATGAGCAGTACATAGGTCCACGCCCAGGATCTGAACCTGGGAACCCTGGGCCACCAAAGTGGAGTGTGCGAACTCAGCCACTATGCCACCTGGCCAGCCCCCTATCTTACATTTTTTCCATACCCACTATATGCTAAATATTATATCCTTATAATACATAGACAGAGTTATTTGTGTGATAGGTAAAGAATTCAGGGGAAGCAAGATTCCTGATCGTTTTTCTATTTGACTTGGGGCAGGCCATTTAACTTTAATGATTTTATCTTTTCCAACCACAAAATGGGAAGGATATTTCTTATAATATTTCAAAATTGTTATGGATTATTTGTGTACCCCCCCAAATCATATGTTGAACCCCACCCCATGTGATGGTTTTAGGAGGTGGGTCTTTGGGATGTAATTAGCATGAGATGAGGTCATAAGGGTGGAGCCATCAGTAATGAGATCAGTGCCCTTAAAAGAGTTACTAGAGAGCTTGCTTCTTATCTCTGCTCTCAGTCACCAGAGGATACAAGGAGAAGTCTGTAGTCTGCAACCCAAAAGAGGGCTCACCAGACCTGACCATGTTGGCACCTTGATCTTCGACTTTGGCCTTCAGAACTGAGAAATTTCTGTTATTTATAAGCCACCCTGTCTATGGTATTCTGTTACAGCAGCCTGAACTGACTAAGAAAAATAGTAAATGATTAAATATGACTTGTAAAAGTGAATGTATTATATCAAAAGCACAAGTGACAAAAGAAAAAACAGATAAATTGGACTACATCAAATTAAAAATTTTTGTGCTGCAAAGGGTACCGTCAAGAAAGTGAAATGGGGGCTGGCCCAGTGCTGCAGTGGTTAAGTTCAGCATGCTCCACTTCAGCAGCCCGGGGTTCAGAGGCTTGGATCCTGTGGGTGGACCTACACCACTTATCAAGCCATGCTGTTGCAGGCATCCCACATACAAAACAGAGGAAGACGGGCACAGACAGGCCCTGAGAGTTAGCTCAGGGCCACTCTGCCTCGAGCAAAAACAGGAAGATTACCGCCGGCCTGCGGCGTAGCGGTTAAGTGTGCGGGCTCCACTGCTGGTGGCCCGGGTTCGGATGCCAGGTGCACACCGAGGCACCGCTTGTCAGGCCATGCTGTGGCGGCGTCCCATATAAAGTAGAGGAAGATGGTCATGGATATTAGCCCAGGGCCAGTCTTCCTCAGCAAAAAGAGGAGGACTGGCATGGATGTTAGCTCAGGGCTGATCTTCCTCACAAAAACTAAAATAAAAAACATAAAGAGGAAGATTGGCAACAGGTGTCAGCTCATGGCCAATCTTCCTCACCAAAAAAAAAAAAGAAACGAAAAAGAAAGTGAAACGACAACCCACAGAATGGGAAAATTATTTGCAAATATCTGATAAAGGACTGGTATCCAGAATATAAAAAGGTCTCTTACACCTCAACAATAAAAAGACAACCCAATTAAAAAATGAACAAAGGATTTGAAAAGATATTTATCCAAAGGAGATACACAAGTGGCTAATAAACACATGAAAATCTAGATATTCAACAGTGTTAGCCCTCGGAGAAATGAAAACACAAAACCACAATGAGATAGCACTTTACGTCTACTAATGTGGCTATAATAAAAAAGACAGGCAATAATAAGTGCTGGTGAGGATGTGGAGAAATTGGAACCCTCACACACTGCTGGTGGAATGTAAAATGGTGCAGGTGCTTTGGAAAACAGTTTGTCAGTTGCTCAAAAAGTTAAACATACAACCCAGCCATTCTCCTCCTAGGTATATACCGAAGTGAAATTAAAACACAGGTCCACGCAAAAACTTATACATAAATGTTTATAGCAGCATTATTCATAATAGCCAAGTGGTGGAAACAACCCAAACGTCCATTAGCTGATGAATGGATAAACAAAATGTGGCATAACCATACAATGGAATATTATTTGGCACTCAAGAAATGAAGTACTGATACATGCTACGACATGGATAAACCTTGAAAACATACGTTAAGTGAAAGCAGCTAGACACAAAAAGCCACATAGGATTCCACTGATGTTAAATGTCCAGAATAGGCAAATCTATAGAGACAGAAAGTAGATTAGTGGTTGCCCGGAGGGAAGGGAAGGGAAGGGAAAACAGGGAGTGACTGTTAATAGGTACGCGGTTTCTTTCTGGGGTGATGAAAACGTTCTGGAATTAGTGTTGATGGTTGAACAACTCCATGTATACTAACCTTTGTACACTTTAAATGGGTGAATTGTATGGTATGTGAATTATATGACAATAAGGATGTTTAAAAAAAGAAGTGAACATATTAACATCAATGTCACCAGGAGTCCAAATTCTGGCTTACACAGAATTTCTTTCCTGGAGAGCAGATAATATGCAAAGCCAGCAGTGGTCTAATTTTACTCACAAATTCCTGACATATCTGGCTGTCAGGTTCCTATTTTAAGCAAGTACCAAGAAAAAAAAAGTAACTCTTTTAGTTCTGGAATGCAATCTTTAAGATTACGCTTTAGTAAAGCATCCAATACAGTATATTTTTCACGTGTGGAAAAATCTGGAATTTCATACTGTTACAATGACTGCTCAACTTCGATTTGTGTATTATAAAACATTTGCATTCTTCAGAGATTAGTGGTTGTCAGAGGGGATGAGGGGGGTGGGCAAAATGGGGGAAGGTGGTCAAAACGTACAAACTTCCAGTTATAAGATAAACAAGTCCTGGGGATGTAAGGTACAGCATGGGGACTACAGTTAATAGTACTGTATTGTATATTTGAAAGCTGCTAAGAGAATAATTGTTAAAAGTTCTCATCACAAGAAAAAAAATAACTGTGTGGTGATGGATGTTAACTAAACTTATTGTGGTAATCATTTCGCAATATATACATAAATCATGTTGTATACCTAAAACTAATATGATGGTATATGTCAATTATATCTCAATTAAAAAAATTCTTGTCCAGCTGAGGATGGTTTCTTGTCATTGACTCCAAAAGTCTTCCTTGTATATGTGTACGCACTTCTAAGTTTTCTGTGTCTCTCGCTCATTTATATTTTCAAATTTTACCTTTGGAACACTTCGGAATACACTTAAAAAAATAAATAAGAAATTCTCTCTAAAAGGCCAAAGTAAATTGAAATGAAGCCTACTTGTGTTACAGTTTTCTTCCAAATGGTCTTTCTCTGGGAGGGTGGAAGAGTGTTGAAAGAGGTTTTCCAGAACGTGAGCGGTCAGGATGTTAGAGAACGCCCCAGAAACGAGACGTTTTCCGTTTTCTTTTACTTCGCTGCGGCGGCATCGTGGAGAGTCGAGGCGTTGGTGGGTCGCTAAAAAGCCAACGCCTGGGAAGAACCGGGGCGCTGCGGGGCCAGGTCTCGGCGGGCGTCCCCTTCTGGCCGATCTTCTCGGTGTCGGTGGCACCGACACCAGCCCCCACGGCCTTTGCCATCGCCATCGCCCGCCACCAGGGCCCTCCCGGCAGCCCACCTGGCCCC